AAATGTTAATATACCAACCTATTGAAGTACTGAAATCTGTTTTGCGCCTTTGTGATACACTGATAACCACATGAAAGTCACATGATGAACCAAAGCCCATCACAAGCAGCTTTTAAATATGAACATATATAGAAGGTGCACAGCGTCATTCACACAAACACCAAACACCATCATGGTGACACACATGAAACTGAAATAATGCAATAAACATTCATTTAACAGCATTAGGTGTAACATACAACCCTAATATATAAAACTGATAAGAAAAAACTAAGAAGAAACATAGTTATTTCAACAAAAAACATCAAATTTGAAATGTAACGCAGGGAATTCTGGGAATGTCAATTTACGGTAATTCACTGTAAATTATACGGTCTTTTTCACTTCCAAAAATCGGTATACTACCGTAAAATTAATGTCCAATACATGTAATGTCCAGTACAGTTTTTCACTGTATATAGTAGGGGAATTTACCATTTACTGTAGCATTTTTACAGTCTTTTACCGTTAAATTCACGTCCTTTTTTACAGTGTATAGAAAAACCCAAAGTGGCCACTTGATGAAATGACACCTTTGTTTTTATTCCTGAGCTCATATGTTGATTAGATGTTTATAAGAGAAAAGGTCTAAACTCACCAGAACACTCTGCAGATGGTAGGCAGCGTGACAGATCATATAGATAATTTAAGAACTCTTCTCTAGTTTCAGGCAGTTCTGCAGGAGCTTTGTTCCAGTCGTCTACAGTCAGATTGTCTCTTATCCAGACTTGTTTTTCATTACTGTAGCGAACAATCTGAATGTAATCAGACTCACCCACAGCACTGAACATTGGAAATGGACCTGCTTTGGTCAAGCCTGTATACATGTAGTGGAGGGAGTGTTTCTCTGAGCAAGATAGAAAGCACAAACTGTGAAACACCGTCTCCTATGGCAAGCTGTTTTGACTTATATTCATTCACAGGATATGCATTCTTGATTCAATTTTCACTAGTTAAAATGATAATTCTTGATATCAGAAAATTTATTTTTACTAGTAACAATGGATATTTTGATATCAGGAATTAAATTTACAATAGTAAAAATTTAAATTTTTTTATATCATCATCGTCGCAGAAATCGAATTCTTGATATCATGAATTACATTTTAACTAGTAAAATATTATTCTTGATGTCTGTAATTGTGTTTTCACTAGTTAAATGTCACCATAGGCTGCCATTCAAATTCAATTCTCCTATGGCAAGCTGTTTTGACTTATATTCATTCACAGGATATGCATTCTTGATTCAATTTTCACTAGTTAAAATGATAATTCTTGATATCAGAATTTATTTTTACTAGTAACAATGGATATTTTGATATCAGGAATTAAATTTACAATAGTAAAAATTAAATTTTTTTTATATCATCATCGTCGCAGAAATCGAATTCTTGATATCATGAATTACATTTTAACTAGTAAAATATTATTCTTGATGTCTGTAATTGTGTTTTCACTAGTTAAATGTCACCATAGGCTGCCATTCAAATTCAATTGTTCATATCAAGAATTGATTTCTTAGTAGTTGAAATTTGAACTAGTGCCTTCATTTTTGATATTAGTAATTGCGTGGTTACTACTACTAGTGCAAATGTCTATTCTTGATATCAACAATTGAACTGCTACTAGTAAAAACATTCATTTTTTTATATCAATAATTCGATTAATTTCTGATATCATGAAAGTGATCAGTAATAAGTTATTAACGTAATTTCGGGAGGAGTATGCCCATCTAATCTTCCAATTAATATCCAAGTATAAAAGACAGCCTCTTACCGCTTCCATTGTTAGTACTTTCGGCATTCAATTTTTCTTTAAATTAATCTACGGACATCCATGTCCCGCTATAACAAACCCCAAGATCACTCTCTTAATCAAAGGAATCCAAAAAACCAACCCTACTTGCCCCGATTCCAGGCAACCTCTAACCATCGATCTCCTAGCCAAATTCCTGACTTTCCTCCGTTCCGGTCAGATTAAATTACTGGGTCGTTGGTCCTCAGATGCCTTTCAGATTTACATCCGTTCTGACCTCAGCCTCATCAAACAAGCCCATCTAACACTCTCTTCTCTTAAATTTAGATAGCTGCCCCTCGAAATTCAGTCCATTGACCATTGCTTGATTCATTTGATGCTCCCGCCGGAGTGCCATCTTTTTAGGGGGGCCTCCGAATGTTCAAATTATCTTTCCCTTTAATTTAGTAACTCTCGCTCGGTGTCTGATTTGGTATGTATGTTTTGGGGGGCTATCAGAGCTCGAGTAGAATAGTCTCTCTGAGCCCTCCATTGCAGAAATCAAGCCAAATCTGTTTACCACTAATTCTAAGATTATATGGGCACACGAACTCATGAAAGCCATTTTTAGATATCTGAAATTATATTGATATCAAAAATACATTTTCAGATGTCAGAAATAACAAACGGATAAAGACATAAGACATTTGCAGATATCAAGAATTAACATTTAAACTAGTAACAGTTTAACTCTCGATATCAGGAAAAACGATAAAGATAAAAATCAGAATCAAATGTAATTCTGAGCTGTTGCAACTGAAAGAAACTTGCACTGACTAATCTCATGCTACCAGTCAAAAGTTTTTGTAGAGTAAGAATGTTTTTTTTTTTTTTAAGAATTCTCTTCTGCTCACCAAGCCTGCATTTATATCTTGTTATTTATCTGCCATATTCATAAGGGACAGCACTCATCATTAAATTATGCACATATCCAAAAAGAATTTGTTACTATACATAGCCTATTCAAAAAGGAATTCATGATATCTGAAATAACAATGTTTACTAGTGAAATTTACATTTTAACATGTAAGAATTAAGATACAGTTGATATCAACAATTCATATCATACACGAGTAAATGTTAACAGGACGACAAAACTATTACAGATATCAAAAATGTATTTCTTAGGCTACTAGTTAAAATTTCAAATACACATTTGTATTTCTTACTAGTAGAAATAAAAATGTTGATATCAGTTTGTTACTAGTGAAAATGTGAATTCCTGATATCAAGAATTCAATTGCTACTAGTTGAAATGTTAACTGATATCTGTAAATGTCTGTAAACGTGAAACCGATCTGAAATGTATTTCTGATATCAGTATAATTTCAGATATCTAAAAAAGCTTTCTTACTAGTTACAATCACATTAATGATATCAGAAATTAACATTGTCACTACTGACAATCAAATTATTGATATCAAAAATGAACATTTTCACTAGTATTTAATGATCAAGAATAGACATTAGTAGCCACGTGCATGATTACTGATATCAAAAATATAGTTTTTTTTCTAGTAAGAATTGTATTTCTGACATGTAAAATGAGAATTTCAACTATAGTAAGAAATTAATTCTTGATATCAACAACATTTGAATTTGAATGGCAGCCTATGGTGACATTTAAAGGGACAGTTCACCCAAAAATGAAAATGTGATGTTCATCTGCTTACCCCCAGGGCATCCAAGATGTAGGTGACTTTGCTTCTTCAGTAGAACACGTATGATGATTTTTAACTCTAGCCGTTGCAGTCTATCAGTCGTATAATGCATGGCAATGGTAACAAAATCTATGAGAGTAAAAAAATTATCCAAAAATCCAAAATTAAACACGTTGATGTCCTAAGACACGAAACGATCGGTTTGTGCCAGAAACCGAACAGTATTTATATTAGTGAAAATAAGGCTTGCCGAGGCTTGTCTCCTCTCAGATAGCATGTAAAAACTATATGGAGGCAATGGAATGCACAGAAGGAGGGGCACCGACCAATGCCCTCGCAGCGCCATTTCTCCCCCACCAGAGATCTTTGCATGCCATTAAATGTAGGGCCACACCAGCCATTCAAACTGGAACCCACACTAGAGGCTTAGTAACTAGTAGCCTACTTAGTCTGAAACTAACTCTATAGCTATTCGGCTGCACCATTTGTTCTTATAGCTGAACATAGCTAGCTACACTCTGAAAAAGAGGACACTGGGGTGGTATTTTTTCCAAAGGTACACCTTTGTTCCTTGTTTATCCCTAAATGTGCATATTAGTACGTACTTTAAAGGTGAGCATTTTCCTGCAAATAACATTCATAAACTGTATTTAAAATACATAATGATCAACAAATAAATACCGTTACTTAAAAAAAATAAATAAAAAATAGCCTAAATTTCAGGGTGGGGTTTTTTATTTTATTTTTCTATACTCTCTTAAAATGTAAATGTCAGCATTGTACTCGTCAACATTAATAATATGTCTAAATGACGTCTGTCAGGTAAAAACAAAAGCTCATTTATGCAGTTCAGACTATCTTCTATTTTATTCCAGTTAGTAGCTAGCCTACATCAATAGGTAACAGTATAGATCCCAAATTTGCAATGTGCTTACCTGGTTTCACATTGCTTTGAAGAGAAATTAAAATAAAAAACAATAATAAAATTGGCCCAAACACATGACTATATAGAAAAGTTTTAAACGAGAGCGAATCAACTATTGCAGTCCTTTTATTTCATTCTCTCGCCCTAGACAGATCTGCACTATAGTGGAAGTTCTTCTCTTCCAGGTGTTATTATTGAGCGCATTGCTGCCCCTCACTGGCTGCTGATGAAATTACACTTTCGTTTTCCAGCCGTGTATTCCATCCTATACTGAATCTTTCCAGCAGGGGGCAGCATATGATTCAATCAGAGTCTGAGCCTCAAATCATCCTCACAAAATCTGTGGTTTATTTACAGATTTTATTATATAGAGAAATCTTTCCTGGCGTTTTAATACCAGAAAACCAGAAAGAAAGAAACAATCAGAAGAGCATATTTTTGATTGATTTAGCCTGCTATGAATGTGCTCGTTGAACTCTGTCTGAAAAATCTATTAAAAATTGACATGAAACAATGTGTGCAACTAATTTGACTTCTGAATTAAGAGACTAAAACTTGATTTCATGTTGATTTAACGCACTATATTCAGCTGCAGTGTGTAAGCGGTCCACAAAAACAACATTCACAAACAATGATTTTATGATGCTTTTTTTTTAACAAATATACACAATGATTATATATGCAAAAAGTGCTCTCTTCTCTGCTTTTATAAGTGTTGCTTTCAGACGCTGAACCTGAATGTTGATATTTCAGATCCTCGTTAACTGATCATCAACATTAATCTAAACGAATCTCCGCTCTGTAAGGCACGTGTGTAAAAGTCTTCAGATTTTCACATTAATAAACAAACAGCTTCACCTGAGAGTCTCAAAAACAGCAGAATTCATATTTGATCGCTATAATCCAGATCATCTTTGGCTCACAGTTCTCTTTGGTTATTTTTAGTGCTTTAATCAAACGATTAATCGCGATTAATCGAATCCAAAATAAAAGTTTTTGTTTACATAATGTATATGTACTGTGTATATTATGTATATATAAATATATTTAATATATAACCATAACACATTTTTCTTAAACATATACATGCATGTGTGTGTATTTATATATACATAATAAATATACACACTACACACACATATATATTATGTAAACAAAAACTTTTATTTTGGATTCGATTAATCGCGATTAATCGTTTGACAGCACTAGCTATTTTATATATTTTTCTTTAATAAACACTTAAACCAGCTGGATTTGATCTGGTTTATCGCTCATAATCATCTTGTGGCTTTATAATACTGTAAGTTCACAAAGGGTCTCTTGGATTTTCTTGGTACGAGTTCACACGTCCCAGAATCCTTTGCGTCAGGACCCCCGTTCCTCTGTGTTTGACTGTTTCACGTCAGCGAAGCAGATTTTCCCTGAAGCTTATAATGATTGCTAACGAGCGGCTGGCGTCATACACGCGCTCTGGATATGGAGTATGAGTTCATAGCTAAATAAACGTCACCTGTGCTGTACGCATGCATGGATGTGGTGTGTTTAGCTGATCCTGTAATGTGCAAATGTCACATGTTTGTCTTAAACAGTCTTCATCAGCTGATTGGACAGACGGGTGTCTGCGGTTCAGATCTCCTTCTCATCGTTCCCAGAATCCTGTGCGCTCTTGGTGTCGGCGCTGAGGGGCGAGATCACAGCGCTGCTGATTTCACTGAATCTCTCCACGACACACTGCGCCGTCACACGCGCCTCGGGGTCGTGATCCCAGCACTCCTCTATAGTGGAGCTCAGCAGATGAACACCCTGAGAGAGAGAGAGAGAGAGAGAGAGAGAGAGAGAGAGAGAGAGAGAGAGAGAGAGAGAGAGACAAGATAATGATATCAGGAAGTTATGAGGAAACAGTGGAAAAAAAAAAAATAATCAAAATAAATGAATAAATAATAAAAATGATATTAAACTAAATGCATAAATACATGATTCACATAAATAAATGAATTATTAAATAATAAAGATTTAAAAAAATATATTATATTAAAATAAATACATAATTAAAACATGACAACAAATAATAAAAATGAGTTAAAACAGATTTAAATAAATACTGAAAAAGAAAAATAAGTAAATAAAAATAAGATTAAATTAAATATATTAATGATTTAAATGAATGATTGTAATAAATAAAATAGATTTAAATAAATAATTAAAATAAATAAAAACAATGGGTTTAAAATAAGTAATACATTTCATAAATAGATAGTAATAGATTAAAATAAATAATACAATTTAGATTTAAAGAATTAAATAGATTAATATATATTACATCTAACAGCACAGCACTATAGTGAGTAGATATTTAAATATTGTAGTTAAATGTTATAGTTTTTTTATTTTAAATTAGATTTAATTTTTATATTTTAATAAGTTTGATCTTTTTGTCTTTTTTTACATGTCTATAGTTGTAATTTGTATTTAAGTTTAAAATAAAAACAAACTTTGAAAAAAACTAGATGAAATCAAATAAATTTAGGCTTTTTATATTTCATTTCAGTTAACATTTATTTTATGTCAAGAACATTTTTTTATGATTTTAGTTTTCGTTAACTATAATAAGCCTGCTGCAAATACAAAAGTCGAAATATGAGCAGCTTCACAGCTTCACAAGCATTACACAAGCACTAGAAGTATCTCTGGGTCTGTGAATATTGTCTTTGATAATGAGGTTTCAAGGTTAAGAGGTGCTGGTTTAGTGAACCGTCAGGCTCTGTGAGACTAGTTTAGGTAGTTACCGTGTGGTTAGTCCAGCTGGCCGGTATCTCGGGTCTCAGTCGGTCTCTGATGACGTCGTCCTTCATGCTCTCCACACACAGATGATCCTTCAGCTTCCCGAACGGAGGCTCGTATTCCCGCACATCTGCACACACACACACACACACACACACCAGCATCAGCTCTGTGCTCAGAGGGGACTGCAGGGAATCACTGGAGAATGGCATTGTGTGAAGTGCGTCAACAGGGTTTTAACCAGTCATTCACAACAAACGACACAAATCTGGCTGTTTCCTGCCACAAATACTCTTGAACCTGAAATAAAGACCCTTAAACAACAACAACAACAGCAAAGCCATAGAGGAAGTGCACAGTGCAGGAACAGGAAGTGGGCTGTGTGACATGACGCGTGTCACGGCCGAGTTCATGACAGCGATGCTTCCTGTTTTTGATGCATACATTTCCTGGGAACTTTAGAACAGAGATTGAATGATGCTTTTCTATAATTATATATATATATATATA